AAGAATTGATTTTGAATAGTGATATGATGGGAAATGTGTGGTTGAAAAAGAAGAAAAAATTATTGATGTGATGGAAAATATTATTTTATTGAAGAATGTGTGGTTGAAAATGAGAATTGATTTACTGTAGAAAAATTTAATTCCTCCCAAACAGGGCCTAAATCATAATGAAAAGTCAACTGTATATAGAGAACAAATAGGGGAAGTCTAAACTCTAATAATAGAGTTGTAGTTGAAGTAAAATGTAAGAAACCGAGTAAAAAAAAAAAAAAAATCGAGCAAGGCAAAAATTGCTAAGTGGCGCCACAACCCCAGGCCAAAACTTCGTGGCACTGCGATGTTGGCACCGAGGCACCCACTCCCTGGTCCTTAAATTCAAAACTTGATTTTTTTTCATCCCAATGTCCCCATCATGTCCAATACAAATTTTAACTCCAAATGGACTTCCAAATAGAATTTTAACTATAATTCGCCAAGTAAACTTAAATAGGATTTCACAATAGCATTTCAAATAGAATTCTTTTTAATGTGCATTTTAATGAAACTCCAAATTATTTTTAACAAAGAATTTCGGTCACACCCAAATTCTAGCAATCTCCACCTTGATACTAATTCCAATGCCATGAAAAAAACTTTAAAAAAAAAAAAATCTTCACCCAAAGACAAATTTCATTGCAAGGAATAAACTTGATCTCTTCAATAAAAAACACAAACAAACTTCTCCATAAAAAAATTTCAACTGAAATTATTTTCTACCTCTATTACCTCAACTAGGGGCAAAAGTAATCTAATGACCACCAAATAATATTGAAACAAGCACTGTAAGAAAATCACAACCGAATGCATTAAAAGAAGAATCTTGGTTAGAATCAAAACTCTTGACTGCATTCAAATCATCAACTAAATCAACAGAATATACCTATATGAAGTCTTATGGCAAAAAATGATCTATTACTAGCAACTAAATACAATGATACCGCCGATCATGGTGGCAATGCGGATTCACCTATAACTTTTAAATTCAACTGAAATGTACTCTTTAAGGAAAATCCCAAATTAGAATCCACTGGTACATAATCCAACACTAAATCCACTTGAATTCCTAAAATATGTTGATTGCTCAAAGATTCTGTATAACACTACAAGATATATAAATAGGATTTTCTACGTCCTTTTAGCATACATGTATCATTTTGAATCAATAGTATTTAAGGAGATAAAATTTCTCTTCAAATTTAGAACGTGTCTCACCGTATCAAGTATTCTAATCGTCTCATCAAACATCTTTATTCTGAACTAGCTAATACTGGTTATCCGACAAGTTGTATTATTACCGGCCATCACAACACATTTTGTAACGTTTTCATATGTTGAAAACAATTCCCTATTAGGAGTCTATTAAAAGTGTAAGATGTATCAAAAATTTAAACGTCGTCAGGTTTTGAGTTGTAGTCAGATATAAGTAAAAACTCTCAATCACAATTAGGATTTTCTCCAATACTTGCTTCCCCTGAAATTTTTGATTGTTGATTTGCA